AAAAGGACAACATATATAAACATTCCAGAAGAAGAATAGTTTACTTTCGCAACACGAAAATGACTATCGCAACGCGGAAATGGCTATCGCAATGCGAAATGAAAATCGCAACGACAAAATCGCAACGCGAAATGAAAATCGCAATGCGATTTCTGTTTCGCGTTGCGATTTTGTCGTTGCGATTTCATTTCGCATTGCGATTTTGTCGTTGCGATTTTCATTTCGCATTGCGATAGCCATTTCCGCGTTGCGATAGTCATTTTCGTGTTGCGAAAGTAAACTATTCTTCTTATGCAAATTGAAACTTGAATGGATTGCATTACTTCAACCAAAAGACAAAAACAAAACTTTAAAACAAATACTAACAAAAACAGTTTAGCAGTATTAGCAGCAACCGAATGAATTACGAGTATGAAAAATCTTAAACTTACCTCGTTGCGTAGAGTATGAACCTCATTCTGCAACGATGCTACCATCTCACGTAGAGCGGCTACCTCACCGCGTAATGTAGACACCTCAACACGCCATGCACCATCGTCTTTGCGTAAAGTACCGACCTCCTCACGCAAGGCATTGACCTCATCACGTAACTCCCCTAACTCATCCCGTTGAGGTGGAGGTGGAGAACAGGGAGATAAACGTCGTGGCATCTTGCGGTGATGGTGGAGAAGAGGCTCGATGATGTGACAGAATAGGTGATGGCTGTCGTTGTGGAGGTGTATAGCCGGGTCGATCAGATGGTGGCTCTGGGTGAGGTGATAGCTCTGGGCGAGGTGATGGCTCCCGAAGTGGATGCTGCTCATCAACCGTTCCATCAAAAAAACGCTTACTAGCTTGCCACCAATCAGTGGCAAGCTCAGCTTCCGTAGGTGTCAGCCTCTGTAGAGGAGTGTTGGCCTCCTAACAATATAAAAGCTCAAACAAAGTTAAACGTGTACTAGTAATAACTTGTCTATAAACATATGGTAGTATTTATGTTAACTTACATTATTTATTGTCGTATACCGTAGTAAATCTTCCCATTGCAAGGTCCGTTTCCTCTTCCAGGAAATAGCCCTGGGAATATTATTTGAAGTTTTTATTGCATATGTCTTCATGGCGGGAAAGGCCTCAAATATCCAAATCTACAAACAATATAATAACAAACATTAGTAATTGTTAAATAATTACTTATAATTTTGGAAACATTATATAAAAATTCTTACCTTAAAGGCCCAAATAAAGCCTGTCAAAGTGTATTTGGAACCATCGCCATGCAAACTTTTTCTATCATCCAAGGCAGACGATAACTTATTCCATGTAGCTTTCCATAAATATGAGCCCCACGGAAACAGGTTCCACGCATTTAGGTCTTCTACCAATTTGATTAGATCATTTGGAATAGGTTGTCTGGCCTCTATGCCTAAAAAGCCGGCATGCAAAAGAATTAGAAGGCATACTCGGACAACGTCGACGTCATCCATCCGAGTAAAACCATCTTTCTTATTCAATAATATCGTCAGGTCTTCCACGTGTAGATTCGGCCTCTCCAGCTCAGGAAAAACCCGGGATAACCATGATGGGCGGGTAATATGTCTAGTGTACCGATCTACATCATCGTGTCCGAAGCGTAGACCGGTGATTAAGCAAAACTCCTCCCGCCCAAAACACGTATACGCCGGTGGAAAATCAAACCATATCTCTTCATCACGACGTTGTATAGTATCTGGTAGATCCCTAGTCATGGTTTGAAGAAATAGGTGTGTCAACATCGCATCTCCACCGGGATGTTGTACTTTCAGCCATGGCCCGAAGCAAGTATCCTCAAACATTTTTTTTTGTGCAGGTGAAAGCTTCGACGCAATTGTTTTGGCCAGGCTGACTTTATTTCTTAAGGTTAATTGAGCCGAATAAAAGTTCTACAAAAACAATAAACATACTAAGTTAGATATACCAAAAACTACACTGTGAAGATATACCAAAAACAATAATAAACATAAAGAGTAGTAGTTTATTCTTCAAACTTAAATTTGCAACACTGTGAATTTCTTATTTGTCTTTGTTTTTTGGCTGAAGTAATGCAATTCATTCAAGTTTCAATTTGCAGAAGAAGAATAGTTTCTGAAAATGAAAATCGCAACACGAAAATGACTATCGCAACGAGAGAATCGCAACGCGAAACTAAAATCGCGTTGCAATTTTCATTTCGCGTTGCGATTCTCGGTTAATAATAAGCAATATAAGTGAAATGGTTAATCTATTATTGAAATTACCAGTAAACTTATCATCAATTTCAATATGAAAAACCTAATAATAATGCAAAAATTTCAAAAAGAAAATAATTAAAAAAACTAACCCTCGTTGGTTGATTTGGTTGATTTTCCATTTCTGATTGTGAGGGTGGCTCTGAGAGATTGAGATAGACGGATTTCGCCGGAGATGGGGACGGATTTCGTCGGAGATGGGTGAGAGAGTGAGAGAGTGAGAGATGGAGATGGGACTGAGTTGTGATTTTAGGTTTTAGGTTATGAGTTGCGATTACGGGATATACTGTGGACGGTTCAGTGTTCCAATATATTAATATTCGTGTTTGGAATTTAAAAATAAAATACTTGGCCAGGATACTAATGGCGCTTTGAAAATCGCATTGCGATTATGTATTATCGCGTTGCGAAAGTCAGAATCGCGTTGCGAAAGTCAGTATCTCGTTGCGATTTTCTATTATCGCATTGCGATAGTAAGTATCGCATTGCGATAGTCAGTATCGCATTGCGATTTTCCCAATTCGCGTTGCGATTTACTTATTCGCATTGCGAATTGGGAAAATCGCAACGACACTGTAGACCATCGCAACGCGATTTCCAACTATCGCAACGCGAAATGCAACGCGAATTTGCGATAATGGAGATCGCGTTGCGAATTAGCGATCGCATTGTGATTTTGTTGGTCATTTTGACAAATCCGGAAAAAATTGGTTAAAATCGTATATTATAAGGCATTTTTGGTCACTGAGGCGATTTTCTCTATTTTAAATGAATCAAACTGTATATGTTTTTCTTGACGCCATTAAAATTTAAATGAATTTATTCATTTAAAAAAATATAAAAAAATAATCTTGTATATGGATAGGTCTTGGATCATCTTTCCCTGAACTCTTACTTAAATACAATATTTTATAATTATGTTCTCGATACATGTAATAAAAATGAAAATTGATAGTGATAGATGATAATGATGAATGGTGACAGAAATTTTGATTGGATTTAGGGTCAAATTGATATTTACTTAAAATTTAAGGATTAAATTAATAATTTATCTAAAATTCGAGGTCCTGTTAATATCATATCTAAAATACAAGAGTTAAGTTAAAAATTAATCATCGTTACTAACCTATCGCATCAATAAATTAACGATAATTAATTTTTTAGTGATTTAATAAAATAGACTAAAAATAAAAATAATCAAAATGTAACTTTTTCAAAATCGATGATAAAATTAAGACAAATTAAAAATGAAAAAAATCATTTTGATCAATATTTTTAAAATTTTATCAATCAAGTCACTCAATTATTTAAATGCATCCAATTAAGCCACTTATCATTTATATTTAATGAAGAAGTTGATTTGGCAGTTAAAGTATTTGGTATAATTACATAGTCACTATTACTTATATTCTATTAATTTGGTCCTAATTTTAATAAATTAAAATAAACTTAACCCTCAAATCTTTAATAATTTTTAAAATCTTTTAAGATTAAAGATTTGAGGGTTAATTTTATTCTAATTTATTAAAATTAAATTATGATCAAATTTATTAAAATTAGGACCAAATTTCAGAATATATAAGTAACAGTGACCAAATATGTAATTATAACAAATACTTTAACTGTCACATCAGTTTCTGCGTTAAATTTAAATATTAACGACAAGTTGCTTAATTAAATACATTTAAATAGTTGAGTGGTCTGAATGACAAAATTTTAAAAATATTAGTCAAAATGAAAAGAGACAATAATTAGATGGTCAATTGTATAATTTACCCTTTATTTTAAATAATTTATTCACTAATTTTTTAATTAATTTAAAATTATACGTCGAATCTTTTAAAATTTAAATTTTTATAAATTAAATCAATATTAATCGTCGAATATAAGAATCACCTATATATTTATATATATATATATACATAAAAACCCGAGAAAATAACCTCAGTGACCGAAAATGCCTTATAATATACGATTTTAACCAACTTTTTTTTGAATTTGCCAAAATGACCAATAAAATCGCAACGCGAATTTTAATTTTTCAACTCAGTTTCCAAATTCGCAACGTAAATATCCAGATTCGCAACGCGATTTTGAAAAATGTGTTGCGGTAGTTAAAATGTGTTGCGAGAGTTTGAAAAACGTGTTGTTGCGATAGTGAAAAAGTGTTGCGATAGTGAAAAATCCAAAATAAATTTACATTTTAACTATTCTAAATTCACGTGGAGTTTGAAACAATAAAGAATGTGTTGCGATAGTGTAAAAGATTCTCAAGCCATTTGTAAGATCTTAGTTTGAAACAATAAAAAATGTGTTGCGATAGTGTAAAAGATTTTCAAGTGTTTGCAATGCTCAATCCCACATAGTATTGGAAACACTATTGGAAATGGGTATTTAAGGCTTGGATTTTCTACTTCCTTGTTGAGTGGAAGAGAACAAGGGGGACTCTCGCATACCGCCGCCGTTCCGTCTCGTGGTTGTGATCGTGGTCGTGGTATGTCTTCGACACGTCCGCACGGATACTATCTTTTTTGAGAAAATTGTTAAGAAATCGTATTAGATTATTATTGATAATAAAAGAAGATTATTTTTATTAAGAAAAGCAGATTCCATATCACAAAAACCCCAATCTCGATCTTTTCACCCACATTCAATAAATTCGGGAAAAAATCGAACTTTTTTTTTTCTTTGGCAATCCCTTTCCAGATTTGGATTTTCATTTATCTCTGTCTCAATTTAACAGTTTCCCCCCCCCCCCAAAACACACCACCACAACACAGAATTCGACCCTTTGCCTCCATTGTTTGTTGAGTCCCAATTTTCACTTTATGTCCGTGCAATCAAGTTAAAGGTAAGTCTTTGGTTTTATTATTGTTGCTTTATTGAGCTATTTTATTAATTTTCTTTATTTGCTGTGATTGAAAAAGAGAATTTTTTTTTTAAAAAGGGAGTTGATTTTTAAGAAAGTTTTATTTTCCCCCTTGTGGTTGTTAAAAGGATTGATTAGATTAAAAAAGGCGGCTGCCAAATGTTTGCTTCAGATATGAATCCGGCGAGGGATGCCGGAAGAGTTTCCAAGGCCGGCATGGTGTTGTTTCCAATTCAATTTACATGGCCATATGGTGGAAGAAGTGTCTCCGTATCCGGCTCTTTCAATGGGTGCTACTATGAATCATCTATTTCTATTTCTTTTCTTAACATGCTATTGATATGATATTTAGGCGTATGATTAGTAATGGGATTAATGGATTATCGTTTGAAATTGAAGGTGGACTGAGCTCGTGCAAATGTCACAGGTTGAAGGTTGCCCCAATATATTTAAAGCCGTTTGTGCCGTGCCGCACGGTTCTCATGAGGTTGGTGGTTAGTTTGCTCTATAGGAATTGGAAATTCAAACTTTTAGAAACATTGGTAATTTCTAACATTGTTGCCGTCACTGTCATTTTTCTTGATTTATCCGTATCCGACACCTATATTTGACGCATTTTCCTATATACTCATGGAGATATTAATCTCCAGGTTTGCTGCATCGAAATTGAACTTACACATTTTGGAAATGTACCCGTGTTGATGCTTACACTTGAATCTGAGTAACTTCGATTTTTAATATGTTCAGTGCTCTTACATAATTGCTGTGTCGATTTTATATGTTGAAATGAGTGGATATTAGGTTTGGGTGACTTTATTGTCAAACAACTTCTAGAGCATGTGAATTCAAATTTCTTAGCCGTGACCTTCTTTGTATTTTATTTGATTGTTTGTGTTGGTTCTTACATGTAGTACAAGTTTCTTGTCGATGGTGAATGGCGACGTGATGAACAACAACCTTATAGGACCAGCGAATATGGAGTGGTCAACACTTTCGACACTCGACCTGTACCTGCAGAGGTCGTCCCTCAGGTACAACCTCATTCGAAGATTCTTAATAACATGCAAGTGGGTAACAGTGTCATGGTATAGATTTATACATAACATTTTCCTGAAGTATTTTTCCTTCTTTAGCCTAGTTTTGAGATGGATGTCGAAAATTTGACCTAGCTTGGCATAAGTTTGCAGTGTAGTCAAATGCAATTCCAGTCGCAATGTCAAATGGACACTAATGATTTGGTATTTTTTTGTATATCGATTTAACTCTTCAGAGATTAGATGGGCATTGCAAACACCGTAATATTTTCTGTTTTAGTGTTTTCATTTTAGTTCTTAATGCATGCTCAGTACATACTTAATCTATTTATTTATTCAGTTATTATTTCCTTTTACTTTCTCATGTAAGTGGATTTTGATACCTTTTTGCAATGCCAGCAGCAACTTTCTGCAGATATATTAAATCCAGTAATGCCTAGGATTTCAGAAGAGGATGTACAGGCCGCCCGCAGTCAAATCTCTGCATTCTTGGCAGCACATACGGCTTATGAGTTACTTCCTGAGTCAGGCAAGGTTTGGATGCATTCCCATTGACCCTCCTCCATGATATACATGTTTCTCTGCATGTTACTTCCAGTTTGCTAATTTAGACAGATCTGCCCTGCAGGTTGTTGCTTTGGCTGTTGATTTGCCCGTAAAACAAGCATTTCATATTCTGGCTGAGCAGGTATCTGTTTAGTTCACCCAGAGGCTAGAGTTTAGTTATTATTTTCGGGATATCTGTGCGTTCCTGATCTTTTTGTTGGTTAAGATATATGTTCCAAAAGATATAGAGGAAATGTATGTACTTCTCCTTTGCTAATCATTGTTTCTTAGAGCCTTTTCTAGATGTAGATGTATCTAGATTTCTCCATGGACATTACTTGCATTCTTGGTAATATTCGTGCCTATTTGATTGATGCTGATAAAGAGCTTGTATACATATCTTTTTCTGAGTCAAGCTGTTTTCAGGGCATCCCTGTGGCTCCGCTTTGGGACTTCAGCAAGGGGAAGTTTGTTGGAGTTATTAGTGCTTCGGATTTTATTTTGATTCTGAGAGAGGTATGTTTATAATGCTTAATCAAGTGTTTCTCGGGCTAGGAAAGTTTCTTAATATTAAACTAAATAATAGTCTGATAAATTGATATATATTTTTTGGTGTATTTCTCTGAATGCATACTCATTTTTGTTATGAAGCTTGGAAATCATGGATCAAATTTGACAGAGGAAGAGCTTGAAACACACACTATTTCTGCCTGGAAAGAAGGAAAGGCATACTTGAATGGGCAAGTTGATGGGCACGGAAGACCAATTCCAAGACAAATTATCTTTGTTAGTGTTTTAATGCTTTGCCATGGATAATAACTTAAGAAAGATGTTATTTTGCACCTGCATGCGTTTTATCTGTTTGTTTGTTCGAATGAAGCGAGTTGTTTCTCCATTCATGTTTTTCTGTTTGTGTCATGGACATAGTATAGACGTGCATACATTATCCAGGTTTAGTGAGTCAAGGTCTGGATGGTGACCACTATAACTCGATATTTGTTTTGTTATGATGTCTTGCCGGAACCTTATTTCAGCTCAACTTCCAATGTGGCTGTAGTGCATTTTTACGAATCTTATCCAGCAAGAAAACAACTTCGTGCCTTTCTGCCTCATCTTTTATTTCTGTTGTGCCATGCCATTTGCGAGTGGTATATTCAAGTGGTGTCATTGACCCTCTTGTTGGTCATGCAGGCTGGGCCAAGTGATAATCTGAAGGATTTAGTATTGAAATTTATGCAAAATGGATTTGCCACGATTCCTGTCATCCATTCATCCTCAGAAGATGGTTCATTGCCCCAATTATTACATCTTGCGTCGCTTTCTGGAATACTAAAATGTGCGTCTTTTAATAGTGTTGTCAATTAACAATTTGTTTTTCTCTTTATTTGTTGAGAAGTAAGTGGTTTCTTTCTCCCTAACCAATGGGGTTTGATTTCTAGGTGTATGCAGGTATTTTAGACATGGTTATGGCTCCTTTCCCATGCTACAATTACCAATTTGTGCTATCCCTTTGGGTACATGGGTTCCGAGAATTGGAGAATCCAACTGCCGTCCATTTGCGATGCTGAGACCTAATGGTTCTCTTAGTTCAGCCTTAAATATGCTAGTTCAAGGTAAGGTTCCTGTTTTGCCAACATTTTATGGATGTATAAGAGTGGATAAGGAGCACTAGGTTAGGTTTAATTCCTCTAGGGGACACCTCAAATTGATAAGACATATTCTTCTATTTTTGTGTTATATATTATATTGTTATGATAAGATTTAACTGTTTTTCTTCTCAGCTGGAGTAAGTTCAATACCTATAGTTGATGATAACGACTCATTAGTGGACATATATTCCCGGAGGTAAGATATCGTTCTCGATTGGTCATCTTTCTAGAATGCAAAACTTACAACCAGCTTGGATTGAAGGTGATTGCCGTTCATAATATTTTTTTTCAGTGACATAACAGCTTTGACAAAAGGCAGAGCTTATACACATAATCTAAATGACATGACTGTTTATCAGGTAACTCTTGTAACTTCGGCTTTTCCTTTTCTCTCGTTTATGCCTTTGGATGCGTTGATGAAATTTTAGAGCCAGAGAGGATACAATGTGGGGCAAGCAAGGGGTTTGACCCCCTTGCTCCTTCAAACATTAAGAAAGGATTACCCCCAAATTTCTAATTTGATCTTCTTTTGTCTCGGCCAGCTATGTTGTTTTGATTCTTCATTTTCCTTGAAGTATCCATGACTCCATTGTCTGACATTAATTTCTAACATATATTGGGGCATGGATACGAGGGTATTATTCTCTAAACATACGAGAAAATTAGAAAAAGTTGAGCGTATCCCTGTCTTGATACATACCCATATCCGCATTCACCTCAGAGCCTGAATAACATGGATGATCCTACTAGTTGGATTCTGCTGACCCTAACTAGATGGAAACTGATAATTTTTGTATATTGCTGAAAACTTGTTCTGTAATCCTTTTCTCTATTTATTCATTAGGCGTTGCAACTGGGACAAGATTCCAGCGCTCCTTTTGAGATGAGAAGTCAAAGATGTCAGATGTGTTTGCGTACCGATACATTGCTTAAAGTGATGGAACAATTGGCAAACCCGGGTGACTCTCTTTCTTAAACTCCATTACATTTGCGTTTTTCATTTTGATGAATGCTAGCGTTTAGATCCATGAAGTAGCATTGCAATCTATTCTGCGATAAATCGTGTGGTTCATTTGTGAAAAATGTATTGGCATATGATGTTTCTTTCCCATATCCTGATTTTCAGGTGTCAGGCGGATTGTCATCGTGGAAGCTGGAAGTAACCGTGTAGAAGGCATTATCTCACTGACCGATGTTTTCAGGTTCTTGCTTGGTTAATCTGAATTATACAGATGAAATATGTAGGAGGGGTCAGGTCTTGCAGTGGCATTTGGACCCCTATCCATGTTTTGCAGGTGCAATTCCAAGCCCCCATTGTCCAAAGTGACTGCAATACCTCACACCGGCGAATCGAGTCTTAGTCGAACCAAAATCTTATTCAACCATTGGAATGACACCTATTGCTTTTTTGCCTGCACAATTATTATTATTTTTAGAATTGTAGGGGCATCATTTGTAAATTTTAAGATGATTTTCATATTTTTTCTGCAAAATTTGTTCATCTATCATTCCCTTGCCAAACCAATTGTTTCTCCATGGTAGTTAGATGGCCATAATCTGCTGTGAGAGATACATCACTTGTAATTGTTTTTAGTTTATTGTTGTCTTCAAAGTTACAAATAAATATATCGAGAGGAGGTATAACTTTACTTGGTTATTTATCGGATGCTTTGCTACTTGTGTTTGATACGAATGTTCGACACCACCTCAAGTTCGAGGACTGCTTTGTTACTCATGTTTGATATGTGTGTCCGACACCACGCCGAGTTTGAGGAATGCTTTGTTACTCGTGTTTGATACGTGTGTCCGACACCACTAGAGATGAACATTTGTCGGATTTCAATCCGATCCGGATCGGTTTTTATCCGATCCGGTTTTTTCTCATAGAAAAAAAACCGGTTTATAAAATAATCGGTTCGGTTTTTAACTGGTTTGGAGGGTCGGATATCCTAACCGGTGTAACCGGTTTCGGTTTAAAAAAAACCGGTTTTTTAAAAAAACCGGTTATAAAAAAACCGATTTTAATATTCCAGATTGCTCATAGGGAACCGATTCCCCCCAATGGGGTACCGATTCCTCACTGAATGGTTTGGTTCCGAGATTTCCAGAATGCTCGGAGGGAATCGATTCCCCCATAGGGGGTACCGATTTCCCCCTATTCAACGGTCGAAATATTTGAATTTTACACTTAGGAAACCGATTCCCTATGAGAGGGTACCGATTCCCCCACGCTCCAAGCATTTTTATTAAATGTTTTCACACTTAAACGACTATATTATCTTCATTAATTATCACTAACGTTCAGAAGTGATTCAAGGTGTATTTAAGCAAGCTTAGAAGCCATTGATCAAAGACAAGAAACATCAAGCAACTAGAATCAAGAGAGAATTAAAGAGAAAGCATCAAACCTCAAGTTCGATAAATTCAAATACTTAATTGAAATACTTAATTAACTCAACATAATTGAAATACTTAAATACTTCCAAGTTTGATAAATTCAAATACTTAAAAACTTCCAAGTTCGATAAATTCAAATACTTAAAAACTTCAAGTTCGATAATTGAAACAAAGTTTACGATAATTGAAATAAAGTTATAAAATAAACTACATTGCCATCTCTTCTTCATCATCTTCGCCTTCTTCGTTTGGAGGGGATATTCCAAGTTCGACTTCTTCAATGTGTAAGTTTGCTTCCAAATCGGCATCAATTGCATCTTCTAGGGTGGTGATATGTTGCTTACGAGCCGCTCCATCCAAATAATCCTTTAAACAAATGCATACTTCCACCGACTCGGGACTTAGTCTTGATCTCCGTTGCGATATAACCCTGCCACTAACAGAAAAAGCGGATTCCGAAGCTACCGTAGAAGCTTGGACGGTTAGTAAATCACGGGCCATGGCGGCTAGAATCGGAAATTGTGCTTCCTTTTCTTTCCACCAAGCCAAAATATCCAAACTTTCAAACTCTTCAAATGTCATTTTTGATAGAAAATCGCATGACATATAATTTCCCAACTCGCTACTTGGGGTGGTAGTACGTGATCGTTTGGATTGGGAATTTACAAGAGTGTTAAAAAGATTCAAATTTATGTTACTTGGACGTCTACTAGATGATTCCGCATTCATTCTCATTTGATCGTGTATTACACTACTTGATCCGTATTTAGTTAAATAAATTGCAAACATGTCTCGAAAACATTTGTTAAAATAATTTATTTGGTTTTGGACAAAGTTGGGTTCATCATCGGTTAGATTAAAAGCAAACGCAATTTGTTCAATTAGTGTTTCAACCCCACCAACATTTAACGTTGGGTTTAAAGCGGCGGCACAAGTAAAAATGGGGGGAATCTCCTTAAAATATTTTAAAAGTTTTTCCTTCATTGCAAAGCCAATTTCTTGAAAAACTTCGGTTTCAAATTCAAAGTCATTTAGTCGGGTAGCCAACAAAAATATTTGATTAAGAACCAACGGGCTAGTAGGGTAATAAACACCGGATAAAAAAGTTGTTGCATTTTTAAAAACCTCAAGCAAATCGGTTATTTTGGCTATAGTTTCCCAACTCGAATCCGGATAAATGTTTGGGACATGACCCCTCTCGAAAAGCCGATCGTGAAATGTTTGCAATGTTTCCCTTTGCCTTAAGGCAGTATGCATCATCATCCAAGTTGAGTTCCAACGAGTTGGACAATCCAAATTAGGACCCAAAGCTTTTTTATTAACGGACTTACAAAATCGTTTATAATCATTTAGTCTTTTGTTGTTGTTACAAAGAACCGATTTTATCATTGTTTTGAATTCTAATCTAATCGGCTCAATAACCTCCAAACCGGCTTGCACGGATAAATTAATTATGTGTGCAACGCAACGGGTATGAAAAAACGCACCGTCTAAAATCGGTGAAAGTAATATTTTCAATCTTGGAAACACGTTTGTATTATTCGATGCATTATCAAGTGTAAATAAATTAGCACCGGTATGCGGCTCACCGAATAATTCAAACGCGATTGTTCTTTTCATCATTTGCCAATTATCTTGATCTAACCAATGTGACGTAACGGCTAAAAAAGAATTTCCGGTATTATGAGGGGAACTCCAAACATCACATGTAAGCGACACACCATAACGGTGTTCTTGGAATCCTAAAATCATTTTTTCCCTCGCCGTACGCCACATTTTTATAGCATCTCTTCTAAGGGTAGTACGACTTACTTGAGTATAACGTGGTTGCATTAGTTGTTGAATTGTTGTCGTGAAATCTTCATCATCAAAGTGGTCGAATGGCAATGCTTTTGTAATCACGAACTTTGTAAACCCTTCTCGTAATTTTTCGTTGCCGTAAACAAAAACACCACCTTGCGGTGTAAGATTCGATTGACTAGGATCCGATCTTGAGCGAAGTGCCTTGCATGATTTTGTCAAATGGTTCAACGTTGTGTTTCCTTCCGATGCAAGAAACTTTAGACAAAGTTTACAACGCGCCCTCCTCGAGCCATTTGACATCTCACATAAATCGTAGTGATCCCAAATGTCTTTGTTTCGAGTGTGTTCGATCACTCTCACGACTTCAAGGTTTCCCCCGACGGAAGATTCAGCCGTGTTACTCATGATGAACAAAAAATTACAAAAATAAGATTTGAGAGATGTTTAAGTGTTGTGTAATAAGATTTGAGGAATTTGTAATCAACCAAATACATCCCCAACCTATTTATACATGTTTAGGGTGGTAAAATGGTAATTTTTTAAAGAAAAAAACGGTCAAAAACGGTCACAAAACCCCCCCAACGGCTATATTAATGGCTAGTTTTTTAAACCCAGACCGGTTTTTTTTCCGGATAAAAACCGGTTTTTTAACCGGTTTTTTTCAAACCGGTTTTTTATCCGGTAAAAAACCGGTCTAGGTTTTTTTCTCCAAACCGGTTAAAATAACCGGTTTAAAAAAATCCGATCCGGTTAAAAAAAACCGGTTTTTCCCAAAACCGGTTTCGGATATATTTTTCGCAAAATCGAATATTCGGATTTTTTGTGCACCCCTAGACACCACCCGAGTTCGAGTACCGTGAGTATTGGGCTTAGATTCTGTGTTCTGATTCTCTCAATGTGCATTGCTGCTACAAACTACAATGTCGCATTACTTACCTATGTTTAAGCCGAAACACGCGTGGTACGAGTATGCGTATATAATCTATATTTAGTCTTAACACCTACTATAGCACTTTTACTTCAATGATATTATCACTTGGACCTTTAATTGTTTTTTCAGTCAATTTGGTCCAACTTTTTCATTGTTAATTTTAAGGCTAGATAGTTTTCCGTAAAAGTGATGATGTGACAATTAATTTCTATCATGTAAGAAAAGTTATAGGCAAAAAGGTATCTAAGGTCGCTATACTTTTGGGGGGAAAATCAATATAGCTCTTGTATTATGTTCTTTCAATGAGGCCTTCCAATTTAAAAAACAATCCTATTATGGTCCTTTGACCAACGTTTTTCGTTGTTGATCGTTATAATATTAGCATGCCAGTTCACGGTGCAGACGTGGCAATCCATCTGTCATGTTTGAGTTACCTATTTAGCTAATCTGTCATATCATATGCCATATCAATTTGTTACCTTGGACTGTCATGTCAGCACCGTAATGGTCAACGACGAAAAAATGTTAGTCTAAAGGTCACATTGAGAGAAAAAATAGAGAAAAAATATAGTCACATTAGGTTACTTTGCATTTTTTTATTGAGAAATGTCAAAGGGTAAAATATTGAAAATTAAGAGGCCAGATTGACAAAATGATAATAAATAAAATAAAATAAAAATTTTCACAAGTAGTACTATTTTAGATATTAAGTGTAACACCCCAAATTTCAGGCTAGTAGTTTCGGGTCTACCCGTGAGGTTAGTAGACTCCGTATAATTTATAATTCAAGTTGTTGGACTTAATTGGGTTGGTTTTGGACTTAATTAGCCATAAAGATGGGATTTTTACAAAGTAAAGAATTGAGGAGGAACCAATAGAATAATTAACCCGTTTTTAAAAGATGAAGATGTTTATTCTCTTCATCTTCTCATTCTTTTCATTTTCTTCCTCATTTCTCATTCTATCTCCTTCCTCATCCTCTCCAAAGTCCATAGCATAAAGGTAAGATTTTGAACCCATTTTCATGCTTCAAATTCGTTCTTAATTCCTTCAATAACATCATAGTAATATATCAAGCACTGGGCTCTGTGTTTGCAAGAGAAAAAATGGGGTTTACATCCAAGCAATAGAGAAAAGTGATTTATGGCTAAATGAGCTCAATTTTGAGATTTAATCAACAAGGTAGGGTATTTCTAATCCTTTGGAGTATTAAATTTTCATAAATTTCAAGAAATTGCTAGGATTTGTAAACTTGAGCATGTTTAGGGTTTATCTTTGATTTCATGAATCAACCACGTTTTAAGTATTAAAAATGTGTTTTTAAGACACCTTGAGACCCTAAACAACTTACTAAAACTTCATAACAAGATTAGAAACCAACTCAAGTCATTTAGGATGATTTTGGGTGTTTTTTCGAGCTTAAAATATCAGTTTTAGGGTTCAAGTATTGATATTAGGATGAACAATATCAATACTGGTTAAATTGGGGATAAAATTAGGGTTTTCAGATGGGAATACCGATACTATCAGGCTGAGTATCGATAATGTCCCTGTAGTATTGATACTCAGGGTAGCGGTATCGATACTGAGGCCCCATTTTTGTAGCAGAATGCATTTTTTTTGTATTGGTATTCATAGGAGTATTGATACTTGACCATAGGGTATTGATACTACAACTAGAGTATCGATACTACCATCTTTCTATGACCAGTTTCGACTCAATTAAGGTTTTAGAGTTTGGGATGGTTCGTAAGGATAAAGCTTAGTCCGAGATAGACGTAAATGGCCAAGGAGGCCTAGAGACACTCGTAGAAGTAGGTTACAACCAGTTTAACCATAGCAGGCATAATGTGTCCAAGTATCTTGAGTAAGCACGTAACATATAATTATGGATGGAGGATCAGTGCACAGGGTGTACCAACGAGAGGTGTGATCAAGTAATCAGATTATATGACAATAGTGTCGTATACCGCAAGATCAACCGATAGTGTTGGACGCAAAGTTATTCCTTTAATTCGAGGGCGAATTGGGGGAAAGCGTAGGATTTGCAAATAGAGCATCACTACCCAGAAATGAACCCGAGTCAGATACCGAGCCAATCAGAACCCTAACGAGTAAACAGTAAAAACAATAATCGTCGTGAAGTCTCGAAACGCGTAGAGACTTCTCCAGAGTCATAGAATGACTAAAATATCATTGAGTATCATATAACCAGACTAGTACAAATTATAAAAAACAACAAACTAGTAACTCTTCGCATAACGTTCTAGATTAGAGAACGAGTGAGTTAACAGCTAGGGTAAATAGTAAACGAGATTTTTAATAACTCATAATAGCTAGAAACAGAAACAGTAACAATAATAATAGTCCAAACAATAACAATAACAACTAGAAACAATAATAGTTGGGATGTCATAAAACTAGCCTTTGTATGACACTCGGAAAACAGCTAGGACACCCAAGTTACTTTAGCAGTAAAGCTATTATCTTGTTTGTTAGTATGTCCAGGTATATACCAATCAGTGCCAAGGCACTTCATTTGGCAGATGGACATAGATGCCCCCAAGACCCTATACAGATTTCGGATCTCACCGTGGTGTACCCGAGGGTATACCAACAGATTAAAGTGGTGCTTGAGCTTCGAGATACAGATCCCTCAACTGCACTATGATACTTGTTATAACTTTATGTTTGTTGTTGTGTATCATATATTAGTATTTGGTAGGATAAAGGGGTGCGTGAGCTCCGAGATGCGACCCCTAAGCCGCATCATGATGCGACCCCTAAGCCGCATCATGATGCCTACCTTAGCTAGTGTATGAGTCACAACTGAGTTAGTTTTGTATTCAGATAATGCACAATAAAATCAATATTGCATTCAGATAATCCAAAACAGAGTTAGTATAACATTCAGATAATGCACAGTAGAACCAGTATCGCATTTAAATAATGTGTAGCATATTCAAATGTTAGGGTTACAGACCCCTACTTCAAAGATAGAACAACCAAGCCTTAAGTAGATAACACTTGATCTATATCATGCATGTACCTACTGATTAGTACCACGTCTTCAGCATGCTTGTGTTTATGAATTCTTATGTTGCTTTAGATTAGTGATTATACTGTTGGGCTTTGTAAGCTCAGCTTTCAGATGTTTTTTGTTGACAGGTTAGTAGCATGAACAGTTCATGGAACACCGTCACAATAGGATTTTCTAGTTTCTCTTTCAGAGTACTATATCATAGCTTAGCAGGCATATGTATTCATAGAACCTTACTTATGTATTTAGTTTATTAAAATTAGATTCTATTATTTTGATTTTAAATTTATGTGTCACAGGGCTCTGGTTTTGTAAACTAATTTTTATAACATTATGAACGTTTTATTTATGATACCATTCAGTATGTTGAAAAAGAAAACGAAAATGTTTTGAAAATCAGAGGTTATCTCGATAGCCCAATATGATACTTTAAGTCTAATCGGGTCTAGGGTGTTACATTAAGCGTGGTAAATAAAAATCAAATCATATATTTTGGACATAAGCAAATATACAATGGAGAATGATAATATATATTGAGAAGTATTTATATTATTTTAACTAGAATCTTTTGGAGAAGCCTATCAAGCCTCTTTGAATTTTATATTTTATGATTTATACGTGAAATATTATTTTTAAAATTATTTTAATTTAAAACTAAACATATTTTGATTATTTAATCCGATATTTGATTATAACAGTAATTATTCGAATTACACAGTTTATAAACACAAAATTGAAGAATAAAAAAGTCAGCCGCCAAGTCAAAGAAAGAAATCAATAAAGGTTTGAAAGCTTTATGGTGGCGTTTGATTAAGAAAGAGAAGGGAATCGGATAGAAAAGAAAATGGTGGGAAGAGAAATTGAACAACTTAGCGAAGAAGAAAGGAAAGCACTTCGAGGCAGCAAATTTGCTCCTCTTCCCCCTCCTTCCCTTTCTAAACCCAGGTTAGGGTTAGGTTTTTTTCTTTCTAATTTTGAATTTGGTTCGAAATTCTTCTTTCTTTCTTTCTTTCTGAGTTGTAATTAGAATTGCAGATTGGCTCATCCAGGAGGACCTTTAACGACTAACAAAGCTGCTGCTTTGGCTAAATTCCTCGAAAGGAAACTCCAAGATCCCAACGGCTTGAATTCAATCAATCCCCAACTTCTCGAATCGGCTGTCAATAACGCTAAAGCTACCGTCGTTCAAAGTGCCTTTTCTTCTGGCTTTTACCTTTCTACTTTTTATATTAACTTGGGCTTTTTTTGCATGATTTTATTTTGAATATTTGCATGAAAGATTTGACCTTGGTTCTTTGAAAATTATTTATGTGCTGAAATTTGACCCTGGTTTTGGCTTATTTTAAGTGTTAAGTGGACTTGGATTTGGTTTTAATTATGTTTCTTTAGATAGTTGAATGGGAAGGTGTTGGATTGGTTGATTTGAGAAAAAAAATGGAAGAGAGTACAAATTGGGTATGCTTTTGAGCTCATAGGTCATATAATCACAATTTGTTAACTTTTATATGGGAATTCGGATGTTGCTTAGACATATGAAGTGGCAATCTATATTACCCGGACTTATGATGAGTATCGGATACGTGTATATGTTCAATATGAGTATACTCAAAGATTTCCCGAGTTCTGTTACATATCTAGAGGATCATATATGAATATGTGTTAGACACAAATGCCGGTACAAGATTTCCCGAGATCTGTTACATATTTTGAGGATTATATACGAATAGGTGTTAGACATAAATGCGGGTACATTAGAAGAAGAAAAATAGAAGTCCAGTCACATAGATGACAATTTAGCAGGTTACCTCACAAGTTCATCTTTAGGATTTGCAGCTTTTCTAAGTTCTTTCAAGTTTGAACATTTAGAGGATCATATCCCTATACTTGTGCCCGTTGTTTGTTGGGCAAATGCATCGAACATGAGTATTATAGTGAAAATAAAGAACCCAGAAACATAGATTCGTTCATCATTAGGTTGTTCTAGTTGTTTGTATATCGGTTATAAGATCTGCTTTAGAATGTTCACCTCACCTTCAGTTAGTAGTTCCTTTTTCTTCCTTCTGATATCCATATTTCTGTTTATGTGCAGGCGGGGCTTCAAGTTCAAGGACTAGGGTTCGACATGTAGATTCCTTCGGTGACTCTGAGGTACTTCGATTCTGCCTTCTTCTAATCGTTACATGCAAAACTCTCGAGTTGTTTCTTACTTCTCACTTTATTATCGGTCTATTGATTTCACAGGACTCTTCGGAAGAAGCTAAGTCAGAAATTCCAAAACCGAAACAGGATAAGAACAAAAAGAAGAAGAAAAAGAAGAAAGAGAAGAAGAAGAAGAACAAAATGAAGAAGGTTGCCTTTGCTTTTTGCTTCTCAGTTCGTTTATTGGTCTATAGGTTTCACAGGACTCTCAACTGATCAAACGATATGCTTTCACTGTTTCAGGTGGCAGAGGAGATTGAATCTACATTGAAAAGACCTAAAAAGGTTGTCAAACTATGATCAAAGTAATAATGCTTTAATTTCATCTTTAATCTTTTTTAAAAAAAAAGTTATAGGATTTAAAAACTGGTGGATCATCAAAGATGCACAACAAAGGATCATTGAAGAAGCTGACAAAGGTCTGCTGGGAAGGGTTTGGTTTCTTTAGACAGTAAGTCTCCAAACAAAATCCTTTGAAAATTAGAGGATTATGCTTTTTAGGATAATTTCTTGTGTTCTTAGTTCTTCCAAATTAGCTCATTGAATAATAAATTGCATGTGTATGTTTAATTAGTTTAATCTAGTTATGAAATAACTCACCCAAATTATTGAGTTAAATGCATGTAGTTTTATAATTTTTTTTGAAAGGAAATAGTTTTATAATTTTATAATGATAATATGACATGTATTGTCATCTTATTGGTGAAAAATTAAAGAAGAATATGGAGGCTTGAGGTCATCAATTTTTCACCTTTCAATTTTAGAAATTTAGTTATTTTAATCCTTAAATTGTTGTGTTTTTATCATCGGATATTATTTTTGGGTAAATTACACGTTTAGTATCTAAATTATTAGTTTTGGCCCGTTCTAATGTATAAACTTTCAAGTTTTTCAAAACCATACCTATAGTTTAGTTTTTATTTCATTTTAGTATCTTACAGTTAAAAATTTTAGTTTTTGTTTTATTTTAGTATCATGCTCAAAATTTAACTTTAAGTTTTAAAAATATTGAAAGTTTAGCTATTAAAATGGACTAAAACTAATAGTTTAAACGCGTTAAGCTTTTAATGATGAGATATTAAAATGAAAGTTTTTAATGACAGGATACTAAAATGAAATGAAAACTAAACATTAAGTATGATTTTGAAGAAAAAAATGAAAGTTTAGGTATTAAAATTAATAGTTTAGAAACTACATGTGTAATTTACCCTTTATTTTTTTTTTGTCAAATTAATCCAAAAAGTTATTAAACTGGTGTTAACTAATTTTCTTATTAAAATGTTCACATTATATATTTCTCTCTCTCCTATGACATCAAAAAACATTAAAAACTACAAGAGAGTTTATGCAAATATTTCAATAAAGATTATTCTTCCAACTTCTTTTATTTGAAAGAAGAAAATAGCTAACGTCATTAAAATTTCTACACATTTGATTCGAATAAATCCCAGCATGAAAAGTGACGTAATAAAAATGGGAAAACTACATATTTAATACATAAAATATTATTTTGATCCGTTTTAATATCTAAACTCTCAATTTTTTTTTTTAAATCATACTTAACGTTTAGTCTTTTTTTCATCTTATTTTAATATTCCACAGTCAAGAATTTAACACGTTTAGTACCTAAACTTTTAAAAAAAATTAAAACTTAACGTTAAATTTTAAACGAGATATTAAAATGAAACAAAAACTAATCTTTAGGTATATTCTTGAAAGAATTGAAAGTTTAGGTGCTAAAATGAATCAAAACCAATAATTTAGGTACTAAAGGCATAATTTACCCAAACATTGGGGACTAAAACGATTAAACTGATGAAAATGGGAGCCAAAATGTTCATTCTGCCAATAGGTTTTAATTCCCGGGGCGACAAGGATAGAGAGATCCGAAAACTTTTCGGGTCGATCGGGGGAGCTCCTCTCCATAATAAAACAGAAAGTTCAAATTTGGAGCCTCTGAGTTTACTCTACGGACTGAGCCGTTGAATCTGAAGAGCGGCCCGTCTCGCCGGCGTTTCAAGATTCGAAGTCGAAAGCTTTTCTGGGTAAGTTCTTCTCCTTCTTTTTATCGTGTTCGAAAATGATTAATCCTCGCAGTAGCAAAAACATCACCAATTTCCTCAATCTCTCACGCATTATCACAATCAATCGTTTCTCCAACGACCCATCACTGTTCTTCACAGTTCGATTCTTCTCGAAACCCCATTCCGATCAATCCATATCTTTCACCATCTCTTACCTCAAAAACAAACTCGGATTCTCGCCGGAATCCGCCCTGAAACTCTCCAAGCGCGTCAATTTCAAAACCCCAGAAAACCCAAATTCCGTCCTTACGTTCCTCGACCAATTCGGGTTCTCCGAGACCCAAGTCCGAAAAATCATCAAAGCCCGACCGATGTTGCTCTGTTCCCGTGTCCAGAAAACCCTTTTGCCCAAAATTCAGTTCTTCCAATCCAAAGGCATCCCAGACCCCGAAATCTCCAGGCTTTTCTTTTGCGACCCCAGTATTTTTGTTCGTAGCATGGAGAAACGTGTAATCCCTTGTTTCAATCAACTCAGTGGTCTCCTAATATCAAGACTTTGATAGACAATGGTGTGCCTGAATCGAATATGGTATCTACGCTTATTTACCATCCAAGGTCTATGACTTTGCTTCCGGATCGGTTTAAGGAGATTGTTAAAGAAGTTAAGGAAATGGGGTTTGATCCTTTGTTGCTTAAGTTCGTTCATGCTCTTATCATGTTTAGAAAAATGAGTAAGCCTGCAATGGAGAGTAAGTTTGATGTTTTCAAGAAATGGGGTTTATCCGAAGAAGAGGTTTGGGAAGCTTTCCGGAAATATCCCGGAGTTTTGGGTCGGTCGAAAGAGAAGATCGCCATGATGATGGATTTCCTAGTGAACGAAATGGGGTTCCCAGCTTCAACCATCGCTTTTCATCCGTCAATTTTCACCCGGAGCTTGGAGAAACGGGTCGCCCCGAGGTGTTTGTTTGCTCGAGATTTGTTGTCGAAAGGTTTGATCATGGACTTTAGTTTGTCGACCTTGTATTCGATTTCGGAAGAGGCATTTATCAAGAAGTTTGTTAACCAATTCGAAGACAAAGCTCCCGGGCTGTTGAAGCTGTACGAAGAAAAGCTCGAATTCACAGTAAGAGGCAGATTCAAGATCGAATCGAGGTAGTTGAACGCAACCATATTAGATCAAGTAGGATTTTTTTGTTATCGGATCGAATTCTTTCTTGTATGATCATATACTTGCGGTTCCTGTTTGATGTTCCTTCTTAATATGCATAAATTAGGTTGCAGGAGTATGTTTATTAAGTTGTTTTGTTCATTTGTTTAAACTTCTATATTTTTTTTCGAGTTTTTTTTAATTTCTTTTAATCTTTTGTATTCTTAGGAAAATGATGAAATTAAACTATGAATAATTGTTGAGGGTTAAAAAAAGTTAAAATTAAAATCAAATTAACACAATATAAACTTTGAGGATTAAATATATTATTTTACCATTGAGAAATGCCCATGTTACCTCTAGACCAAAATGTAGAAGGTGAATTACCTTCTTTTTTAAAAACAATTTAAAGATGAGGATTAAATTGATTTTTATTTAATGATACTGATGAAATAACAAAGTAGAATAACAATTTTTGTCTCTAAAGTTAATAAATTAAATCAAATTAATCTTATTTTTAAGATCTTAAAACATGATTATTTAAAAGAAACAAAAATATACGAAATTGGAAAGTTTATATAAGTTATTAGCCTATCAAAAATTTATGTAAATATAAAATAGGTAAAATACACATTAAATCAAATTCTTATAAAATGAGTACAATATAACCATTAAATATATCAAATAATTACAAAATAATCCTTAAAATTATCAAAATTTATCATTGGTTTGTAAGGTGCAATGTCAATTTTATAATGGTTCCATAAAATAACTATTTTATTAACTTCCGAAAGTTTAGTGGACAAAAAAGATCATTTCAACATAGTTAAGTGACTATTTGTGTATTTTACCCTTATCAAATAGCATAAAACGTGATTATAATACGAGGAAATACACAAATTGCCGGGCTCTAGTAATTCAGCTAATAGAAACTGAAAATATCAAAAAGAATGGGCAAAGGCTGAGTTTTTACTGGGTTAATTTGAAAATAATTGATACATTTATCATTTTTTTATTCATATTAAAAGGGTCAAAAAAGGACTAAATATAAAAAAAAAGGATAAGAGTGCAGAGAATTTTTACAACAACAATGGAGGAATTACGACATACCTGGTGGTTTTCATGTAGGGACCAATGCCAAGATTTGATTCCTAATGATTCCCATACACTTCTGTAGCTCTGTGTAAATTGGTAGATTCTGTGAACAAAATGGCTTCAGACTTGTAACAGCTGAATCTAGAACTTCTGCAACATCTCCTGGTGGGAACTGCCTTTCTGTACATTTCTGCATTTTTTTTTTCGGTGGGGAGTGAGATGATCGGAATCGGACTTTATATCGACAAAAATGTAATTTAGTTGCGTATTAAAGAATGCTTTGTTGGATTTTACTGCAATATGGTTGATTGAAAACCTACCATTTTAGCGGAAGAGAAAAGGTTCTGCTAAGAACCACCGACAAGGAGCCGTTTGGGTAATTACCTGTATCATGAGCAAGGTGGCTACGCAATGTGAAATAAGGTCTGAAGGGATTATTAATTCGTCTTGGTCAGACAAACTTTGCAGCTTCATCTCGGGTATATGACCAGTTGCGGAAGGATATGACAGATGATCGTGTCTGCGGATCAAGTCTGTTGGGGCAGCAGACCTCGGCGCAGGCACGCTAAACTCGTCCAGTGAAAGCTGGTTATTTACAAAATCTATCGCCTCCTCAATCACCTCGATGCTTTTCCCCCCTTTTCGCAAAGATGACATAGCCTGAGATAGTAATCAATGTTCGATTAGAACTTGTCCATCCTACAAATGCAATGAAAACATTCTACTAAAATACAGGTAAGCTCTACCACCAAAATTATGTACACATGGTAAGGATTGATTTGGCCTTGTATTTACTTCGGGGGTTTTAACCTATGGCTCAAGGTTCCAATGATATGGACAATATTCAAAATGCTTTGAAGCTAAGGGGCAAAAAGTTTAGACTCAAACAAAGTGGATATATAACAGTTCAATGCCGTTTTTTACCTGCATAGCTGCATCAACCATTGACCGAGCTTCCCTTTTCGAAGTTTCAACAATTTCAGCCACATGGAATACTGATTCTTGGACATGATGCATAGCATGACCGAAAGAGCTCAACTGAGAGCCCTGCTCACCGATTTTAGCCAAGTGCTTCAGCAACTTACCCGAGGAGGCCCCTTGATATGTATTACGTTGCCTCAAGCAAAACAAAGCAGAAGAAACCTGCACGTAGAAGTTAGGATGAAATGGTAAATGACACTAGTGTAGAGATTTAAAGGAAAAAGACTTTATTGGCGTCTCATGCCTGTTCATTGACTTCATTTAACTGTAAAAGAACAGCAGCATATTGCTTCTTGAAAGAATCTGAATCCTTTAGGCAAGTGTCTCCACCTTTCTGGTTTTCCAACACCTCATCGTTCATTCGTCGCAGTTCAGACACCACGGCTTCCTGCAAATGCTAACACCTCATCATTCATACGTTGCAGTTCACTTCTCTCACATTACTGAACAAAATGATTTGAACAAGATTCTACATCCGCCTCAGATTAATAATACACAACAGACATGGAACTGAAATTACACAACACGACACAACAATAAAAATCACAACATTGATGCCTCAACATCGCAGAAAAGCATCAATTTTGGAGGTAAAAGAGGTTAAAGTACACCATTTTATTAAAAGGGTCGAAACAAGAAGGAAAAAAGAATATGCCCACATATTAAAAGTATGTAACATACACTGCACAAGACAATAAGTAAAAAATAAAAAGGGAGATAGAGAGATTCGGCCATGGATTAAGTTTAATGCATAACAGGCAATAGGAACCTTTTTGTCAAGAGCACGAGTCAACTGAGAAAGAGCTTCGACATCAGCCTCCCTAGCCTGCGCCAGCGACAGGGCAGAATGCTGAGAATTCATTGCTTGTTGACTATAAACAGTTTCAGTAGGCCCAATTTTAAGCTGTAAATTAGGACTCGATGAATCAACCTGGCCAAAGCAATTTATCATTACATTAGATAGCAGTTTTTCTGATTCTATATTGTTTTGTATATCAAAACTTTTAGCTATAATCAATCTAGAACTGATGTACCAAAAAATTCTAGAATTGATTTTATTGATACCGGCAAAGTGAGATCTATTTTGCAGTCATAACTTACCTTAACTGGCTGTGACAAATTGCCAACACCGAAAGTTGATGGGGAAGTACGAGAGGGACTATTAGCATTCTCCAGGTTATCACATTGCGTAAATTTGATGTTCTCTTCCATCTTGCTTTCTTTTGACAGCCCAATCATTTTGAGCTCATTGTAGTTCTCAACAAATTTACGGATGGCAGCATTTTGTCTCAAAAGGGAAGCAGGTAAATTTTCCAAAGCATTTAAAGGCATACAATCAATATCCTGCAACAGAAAACATTATACTCATAAAAGTTGAAAGTGAAGAAGGAAAAAGTACAATGGGAACAAGCTCAGTAAATTTAGAAAAAGGTAAAGAATTATATAGTAAACACAAATAACCAAACGGGCTTTAGTACATCAACTTGTGTATTTAGACAAAAGATCTAAGGAACCTGCCAAAGCCTCAGCCTGTCATTAATCCATCAGGCTGAGGGCGTAATGATGATAGTCTACATCAGCGATTCAGTGAAATATACATGCAGCTATCATATATGAAGCAACCCTATAAAATAAAAAGTTACCATGACAAATTCCACTCCTAGCTCAGGGTTGTCAAACTGAATTCGGTATCTACCATAATCAACATCTAACACACTTCCATCATGAATCTCCCAAGTTTTTGGATGAATGGCAATGACACGTTGTCCAACCGATAGAGGTCGAGCTAAATCAGTTGGAAGTCCTTCACCAATTCCGGCATGGAGTTCAGCATAATGCCTTCTAACCGATTCCCGGTATTGATTAAGCTTCTCCCTTTCTTCTTTTAAAAATTGCTTGGAAAATCTCCGTGGTTTGCCAAGGGAACTGCATGAGGGTGATATTATATAAGTAGAGCACCACAATGAAAAGCCTTACAAAGATTCCAAAGAAGAAAGTTATACCTTTGTATTACACCCCATTCAACACGAGTTAATCTAGGAATATGTCCTAATCCTACATGATCCAAATACTCCACAAACTCACGTTTAGCAAACCATGGGTAATCAATTGTACTATAGAACAATTCAAAGATACACCATCTCCGCGCTAGGTATGAATTTAGGAAGTTACAAAGCTTTTCCTGTCATACAGAATACACATACATGAAGAAAAAAACCCAATATATAGAAACTCAAGTTCACAGTAGTTGAAGTAAATAGTGTTACCTTCAGATTGAGTGCTCTGTCATGGAATAAAGTGACTTGCACACTAGTTTTTCCCTTCACAATATTATCAGAGGACTGTATATCCTTCCTAATTGCTGGTTTCTGTGCATCCATCTTTCGCTTACTCCTGACTTTTGTCGGTAGATTGACCTGGTTAACAGATGAAACCTGTATAGTAGATGGCGCTGAATTGTTCAAGTCCCTTCCTTTATTCGTACTAGAGGATGCATGCTCTGGAGGTCTCAAAGATTTCCCTTGCTTAGGATGCCCAATATTATTAGACCGTTTACCTTTGCTAAGAAGATTCTTTACCCCGTCGGAAACCAAAAAATGCAGATAAAAATAGCAATATCAACAAACTGAAATATGCGATGAATGAAAGAACATGAAGCTATAGAATAAAAATTTATGTTTTTTTCTACGCGAACAAATTGGTAGATATTTAACTTAAAAAGAAGACCTCAAATGCAAAGGTTGTAAGAGGGACGGAAAAAACAATTGCTAAACAGGCTAGAACATAGAGTGCCCTTGGCAGACCCACAGCTCAGTTGAAATTAAATTAGGTCTAAAATAGGCATTCTTCCTAAAATGTCTCAATCATCAACTCAAAACTTTACCAATTTATTCACTTCCTCCAGGCTCCATGTTGAAAGGACTATTTGTTTCCAATTTATCACCCCATCATCTTCACTGACTTATTTAATACTTCCATGGCATTCTCTTGTAACATTTATTACTATATTGCTTATTCTGTTTTCCATTCTAACTCAAGCTGTAGGCGCCACATATACTCACACCAAAAAGGCGAGAGGTTTAAGCATGCACCAACTTCATACAGTTCAATACACATACTCTCAGAATAAGAAGGCTAAATTAGTAAAGTGTCCATCAAACATTCTGTAGAAGAAAGTATCTTACGATTCATAATATCAAAAAGGGAACTGAAATGAAAACATTTAGAACTTGTTTGTGAGCCATCTTAACTCTTTGAAGCTGAACAAGTGAAAAATACAGACCTCGATGTTTGGAGATTCACCCAACTGAGAATCATCATCATTTTCATCTTTTGGAATCTGCGACTAGAGTGCAAATTGCATATGGTCATTGTTTCATGTTATAAACCCAATGGAATTTTGTTTTCCAAACAATTCCAATAAAAAGAAAAGAATTTGCCTACAAAAATAAAAACAACCAAAAAGATAGCATCAACTCTTACTTTATAAGTTGAGGATCTTTCTTCTTTTCTGCATTCCAACAATACCCGGTTGTGTTTCCTCCTTTGCTTCTGGAGTAGCACAAACATCATGACCAGATTTTTTTCCATGTCTAGATGTTCTGGAGGCATTGCCTTTTGCCCCAGGAACAGGATGATTTCCTTTCAGTTTAGTCTTCTCAACTTCATTTTTGTCTTCCTTAAACTGCACAGATGATTCTGACACACACACACACAAAAAAAAGAGGTGGGATAGGACACATTACATAAACACATCCAAACAGAGATATAGTAACAGATCCACAATTATTTTTCAGGGTGGACATATATGTATAAATAATATAATAATTCCGTATGGGGCAGACATTAAATTCAGGGTGGGCACCTTCAGTAAACTGAACAACTAATATAAAAAAATTCGAATTCCAGGGGTGGGGGCAAAAAATTTAAGGGTGGGCACCTTCAGTAAAATAAACAACTGGCATAAAGAAATTCGGATTGAGATGTAAATGCATCCGCCAGTGCAGAGAGATATTCAAAGTTTGAGTCAACAAGAAGGGACATATGGTGTAGTTCAAGCTAGAGAACAGATGAAAATCTTATGTTCAAATTAGAATAGATTTTTATATTTCTCCAAGTCACAAACTTGCACTTAATTGAAAGTATTATCTGAGAATGAAAAATGCCATTCGAAAATCTTTTGAGTCCCACCTATAATTCCAGAAGAAAAAAATACTTTGGGCACAAAGATACTGCTTATAAATGACCCAAGTTGACCACTCAAATCTTCTAAGTTCTAATTTCTCTGCAGGTATTGTTTAATTACATTACTCACTTCAACTCAGATCTATAAAGTATGTCCCAAGCTGAATCTGGCAAAAAACAAGGTAGCACACTCAGGATTAGGTGGGATAGGAAATACATAAACACATCCAAACAGAGATTGTAACAGATCCACAATTACTTTTTTATTATGGACAATATGTAAAATAATAATAATAATTCTGTGGGGCAGACATTAAATTTCAGGTGGGCACCTTCAGTAAACTGACAACTAATATAAAAAATTCGAATTCCGGGTGGGGCAATAAAATTTAGGGTGGGCACCTTCAGTAAAATAAACAACTGGCATAAAGAAATTCGGATTGAGATGTAAATGCATCCGCCAGTGCAGAGAGATATTCAAAAGTTTGAGTCAACAAGAAGGGACATATGGTGTAGTTCAAGCTAGAGAGAACAGATGAAAATCTTATGTTCAAATTAGAATAGATTTTTATATTTCTCCAAGTCACAAACTTGCACTTAATTGAAAGTATTATCTGGAGAATGAAATGCCATTCGAAAAATCTATTTGAGTCCCACCTATAATTCCAGAAGAAAAAATACGTTTGGGCACAAGATACTGCTTATAAATGACCCAAGTTGACCACTCAATCTTCTAAGTTCTAATTTCTCTTGCAGGTATTGTTTAATTACATTACTCACTTCAACTCAGATCTATAAAGTATGTCCAAGCTGAATCTGGCAAAAACAAGGTAGCAACTCAGGATTACTAAATAGACAGAACTTGCAAACTTGGTATTATCTAGCTGTTAGCTATAGAGGTTATCAAATGCATAGAAATAATGAAACAAGGCAACACATTGTAAAATCAATCTAATAGCTTGGTGTTTCATTAGATGCATTAATTGTCAGTTGTTTGGCTAAACTGCAAGATAGACAATTCTTTAACAAGCCATCTATGCACCTAACAAGGCCCATTATTTAAAGTTTCTGTTTATTGATCTGTTCTTACCGGTGTCAGAGCAGTCTCTGGCATCAAGGACAGATCTGCTAGAGTTTGCAGTGCATCAAAGGAAGTGTTTCAACTACAATATAAAATAAATAAGAGTCGAACACAATTCATTAAACAAGACATAGTGTTCCAAAGATTAAAATAAACAGTAAGTTAAAGCCAAAGCACACTTAAATAAATTCACAATGTGAATCCGGGGAAAATGATCAAGTACGATTAATAGTATAACAGGTTTTGACAAAATTCTTGAATGTGCAAGGAATTCATGTGGATCTGGGTGTAGAAAATTGTTTTTCTAAGAAACAAGACTGAGAAATATATTTTCTGAGAGAAACAAACCAACATTCAATCTCCCAGATAACTAGGAACAAGAAGCATAACCATACATAAACTAATAAGCATAAAAAAGATATTGTATCCAACATCATTGGATTACCAATAACCTTGGTGAAGTAGCCTTATCAGATAAAGTCGTAACAGAAAACAGGGGAAGATACTTTCTTGAAGGCAAAAACTATCATACCTTCAAACAACACTTTTTTACTTCTTTTCCTTGGACCCTTAATCAAGGCTCTAGAAGTTTGGCATCCGCAACCTCAGCATCGAACTTTCCCTTGAAATCACATAACTGTTGTCCTTCTTCAGTCCCACTACAGGCTTCTTTTGTGTCTTCCAAATGGTTGTTTACACTTACCTCAACCTCCGCTTCCTTCTAAGGTATCTTTACCCTTCTGTTGAACTTCAATAGTATCAGTGCCTTCTATAATCCTGGAATAGTTTTGTCTCTAGCATAATCTGCATTATCTGCTTCAGTGCTTCCTAAGCTTAATTCACAAGCATCCTCATCCACTTCACTACCGTGAATCTTGGCACAAGTAGTTTCTGAGTCAGCATTCTGAAGAAAGACATCAATTAACCTCAATATGTAAGAAAGTAGTGAGGAAGCATTGGAAACATCAAATAAAAATATATTACCATCCTTTCACTGTTGATAACAGGTGATGGTGTCTCTGCTTTTCTATTTGGTGTCCGAGAAACTTGGGGAGAGCCACCCCTTTGTGATGCTTCTGTCAATGCTAGTGCTACCTCATGAGCAACATCATCAACAGAATCCGCCTTTAGTTTCATTCCTTGCTGAATAGGAGAAAAATACCTTTCCCCTTTGCTTTTGTCATGAGAAAAGAAATAGGAACACGGGAGTCCTTTTCCAACAGCACGGGCCTACTTTCTGAATAGTTGAGCAAACAATAAAAACTACTTGTAAGAAACAGTACAGCAGTCTAATATTAAGATTAAAGCTTTAGTACACTAGCCTAATTTCTTCTTCTAAGTCCAAAATGCAAATACCACCTCAACAATGACAAAGGAAGACTAGGAAGAGAGTGAGATAGAGATCTTACCAGAACGTCTCCTCTTTAAAAGTGACATGCAACTTGATGCAGATGAATGAAATTTCAATAGATCTGGAAGCGGCTTATCTAAACTTTTAGAAGGCTGGTCTCGAAGTTTTCCCCTGCTACGCTTCTGAGGTTTCCGAGAAACTCCCATGCCCTCATTGCTTTCTTGTTCACTATCACTTCCTCCCTGCCATCTCACAATCCAAAAACTTCAGTTTCATAAAAGCCATACCGAAAATATTATACCTTTAAAATATTATATTCCTAACTTCAGTTCCATAATAGGTTGCATTCTCTAGATGCATCCCTGCTCCATTGATAGAATCCAAAACATCAGACCATAAAGTACAATCCAGTCAACTAAAGAGCTGGACAAGTATACCTTTGGGAAATAAGAAACTATACAATGTCACAAAGGTGACAGACGAGGACTAAATAGTCAAAGTTGCAGAGCATAAGTCCAAATCTATTCAAAAAACCTCAGATCCATGCAAATTATCAATAACCCGCCAGGTTAAATTAGATACTCACCAAAACAGAATAATGATCAGTCATCATTGCTATCAGTCCAACCATCGAAGCAGTGCCCTCAGGAAGAGATAAGTAGGCCTGAAAATATGGTGAAATTTCTTTTTCTTGAGTTTAACTTAAAAACATCCAAGCACCTTCATGATTTTGTCAGTCACACAAGATTAAGATGAAAATAGCATCCATTCATTAGTAGATAATAATGCTATTTAAGGCAAAATGTGTCAAATGTGATGTGTAACTTCAGTATTTGTGTCAGAAGTGAAAGCTTATTGATGATGGTTAGATGGCAACATGGAAAAGCTAATGCAACTCAAATGTCTTGTACTTGAGAGCTAAAAAGGGAATATAAAAAAATATTGTTGAAAAGAGTACAGGCATAAGGCAAAGAAGTACCAAGAAATAAAGAAAAATATACATATATGAGTGTTATGATACTAAAACGATGCTTACCCTGTTCATAGTGTAAAGTGCCTCAACCATTTCCACGGATCGATTGCGTATCATAGTAGCAACCTATAAAACCAAAAGAAGCAAAAGCAGAAATGGTAAAACCACAACAATCAAAAGTCAGATGTCCCAACTAGATGACCATAAAAGCAACTATATTGAAGTAGATTTTTTAAATATATATATATATATATATAAAATTAGAGTAGCAATACCTAAAACATGTGCCATCTAAACAAAGTCTAATCACAAGTCAACAAACAATAAAGAAACCCAGTGAATTAATCACAACTAACCTTCTTCCAATCTTTTCCATACTTACGATATGCTTCATAGAAACGCTCAAGCTCTTCCTTGGTCCATTGAGGCCCTAACATGTCAGATAACTTCCTTTTCTGCACATAAGACATTAACATTATAAAAATAATTTATACCAGATTAAAATTTTTCACAAGTCATTTTTGATGACCTGTATAAAGATCTCAACAAAATATTAAAGAAATATACTGACATGCAAAGGAAACTTCTTCCTTTATTATCTGATTGGCACTTGGTTAGAGTGTTATGGTTATTCTCTGGTTTTCTATCTCCCATCTAGAAATGGTACCAGATCTATAGACACTAGACAAAAAGGAAATTTTGAATTGCACAAACCTCACAGTGGCAACTCTTAAATTTTCGGTAAGTGGTTGATTCTTTTACGAACAATACTTCATAGTTCACAGTTGATTACATCTTAACACAACAACTTAGTCAAACCCTTTTTGTACTCGACACTAATTTAAAGTTTGCTACCAAATGAGCTTAAATCTAAACACATAAAAGGTGGAAACTCATCAAGGTTGACCGGGAATAAATAAACTAAATCCAAAACTGATTACAAAAAGTCTCAAAGAAAACAACTCCAAGAACAGTATATGATAAAAAATGTAATCAAACAAGAAGAAGAACGAGAACAAAAATTCTTAATCCATTTAACCTAACGAAATGAAAGAACAGAAAATAAAGAGATAAATGCATCAAAACAAAAGTATTTCAAAAACTAATCAAGAACTCACTCGTTTACCACTTCTCTTAGAACTACTATCTCCATCTTTACTAGTAGCAACTTCATTAACATAAGAAAACTTCTTATTTACACTTTTAGATTTCCTAGACGGAGCCATGCGGGACTTCCTCAACTACCTGAAACATAGTAAAATGTCGAAACAACAAATTACTGAATCAATTACCAGAATCGCAATAGAAGTTTATCTCAACCCTTTTTCTGCATAAAAATAAAGAATAAAAAGGAAAGATCTTAAATAAAATATCCAATATGAATTTCAAATTTGACCTCACAAAAAATTCATCTCTAGCTATAAAAAGAAAAGCGCAGGAAAAAAAACTCAAGCTTTGTCAAAAGAGAAGAATCCATAATTTACGAAAGTAAAAATTAATAAACAACAAAATTACAGAAGAAGCCAGTTCTAGAGATCAGGTCAGCTATGCTTGTTTAATCAAAGCACCACCGCGATTAAGTGATGTTTGGTTCAGAGGTCACCGAGACAGCGGAAGAAAAAACACTGCATAGGGGGGGGGGGATTAGCAGTTCAAAAACAAAAAGTTATCACCAGTCGCACAAAAAAAAAGCTCACTCAATTCACTGTCCAATTACTTCAATTAAAACTAAAAAATTGAAAAAAAATATTTCTTTACAAAACTGAATCGAGAAGAAGAAATCGAAGTAAATAAAAATAATTTCAAAACGGAAACGAAAAAGCTTACGATCGAGAACATTGAAGAACAACATATATGAAGAAGCGATCAAGTAAAACGCGAGCTTCTTCTCCGATGAGCAATTTTTTCTCTCTCTCTTTCCCTTGATTTTTGAGGTTTATGATTGGAATTTGAAGATTGATTAGGGAAGGAGATAAAGAAGAAAAATTGGGAGAATTTGGGGATATAACCGCGAAACTTTAAAAATAAAAAAGAAAAGGCATAATGAAAATTTTAGGACTCAATGTTTTGAACAAATTATTATTTTACCCCCAATTCTTTTTTTTAACATTTAGTCCCAACCGTTAGTTAGTTGAATAATATTCAATACATTTGTTAATATTACATTTTCACATGTGTTAATTGATGGCATCACCACATCACTCAAAGTTATAATTAGCATATGACATGTCACTCAAAGTATAGTTTAGTGTATTTTATCCTTGTTATTATTATTTTAATTTAGTTTTTATGAAATTATGATTTTTTTTTAATCTGGGTCATTTACTAAAATTAAAATATTCATCTGCAAAAATATTTTTTTGTATGAAATTAGTTATGTTTCAACTTGTACTGAATCAAATTTTTACCTCTAATATTTACTTGTTTTTCAACTCGACACCATTTTTTTTGTAAGAAAGACCCCTAGTGTTTAGATTTATTAACTAAAATACCCTAATCATTAAGATTCGTTAAAAAATTGTAGTGGTGTAAATGAACAGAGTATTTGTAAATCATTCGTACAACGTTTGTTTATTAAGATAAACAAGGTGATGTGAACAAAATTTTTATGTTCATTTAATAAATGAACAAACATTAACATATATGTGTTCAGTTCGTTTACGTTCACGAATAAGCTCGCTTATCGACTTATTTATAAAATCATTTACCTTTTTTCTTTTATTTTTTATATTTTTTATATTTTAAATATCGGTGAAGATATAGACTAAATTGAATATATGGTAAATTTTAGAGATTAAACTATAAAGCCTAAAAACTTAAGGACTAATGTAGTAAGTTTGTCATTATGATAAAAGAAGAGTGTTGGTTGCTTAACATTTTTTTTTTGAAAGAATGGTCTCATTAAAACCCCTTTTTAGATCTTATAAGAGAAAAATAGTATCCAACAAATATATAAACGAGGGACAATATCGTCCGGTACATCCGAAACAATAAACTCGAGATAAATCAAGTCAAGGAAAAACGCTCGTTGAATTATCTAACATTAACATTAAATGAACAACTTTGTTCGGTTAAGTTCGATTCATTTAGACCCCTAAGCATCCTTAATAATAAATTACATGTTAAATTTTTTAAATTTTATTTTATTATATTTATTTCTTAAAAAATTTATTTAATTTAGGGTAAAGTACATAAATGTTCTTTCGACTATAAGATATTGTTTTATTAAGTCTATCAACTATTAAAAGTTACAAAATAGTTTTTTAACTATAGAGTGTTGTTTTGTTGAGTCCCTTAACTATTAAAAGTAATAAAATGATCACTTCATTATTCATTATGTTCCAAATTCATCATTTTTCATTAAAAAAATATCAGTCGTTTGAGTTGAACGTTAAATGATGACTGAGATATGATAGTCATTTGAGATTAGGGGATCAAATTTTATCATATTGAAGTCAGCATGTTAACGTTCAGCTCAGAATGTCGTCAAATTTTTAATGAAAAAAGACGAGTTTGGAACATATGAATAGTCGAATGATCATTTTGTAACTTTTAATAGTCTAGAGACTCAACAAAACAATACTCTATAATCGAAAATTCGTTTTATAATTTTTAATAGTTGTGTGACTTAATAAAATAATACTCTATAATTAAGGGACTATTTTTTATACTTTACCCTTTAATTTAATACTCAGTTATAGTTGGTTCGTTGCCATTATAAGCCTCTAAAGCTTTCGGCACCGGGACTTCTTAATTCCTCTATCAAAGTTTCCCTAGCAACGAGTTTAGCTTGCATCAAACAACAACGGTCAAGCACGGTCGTGACAGACTGCAAAAGATTAAATGCTTCTGTTCAAGGTCAACCAGAGAAGAAGTTATGCCTCATCCTTAGGAATGGGCATGGACTCAAACTCGACGAGTTTTGATTCGACCTGATCAAGTTAAATGTTTTGAAAAAAATTAGGTTTGGATCGGATCAGATCGGTTTTTTTAAGGTTATTCATGTTGGGTTCGGGTTTAGTGTGAAAAGTATCCGACCCAACTCAACTCAAAAAATATATATAATTTTACCTTATATATTTATGGACAATTACAATAGTATCCCTCTCTATGTTATTTTCTTTTAATTAAATCTCTTTTTTGTTAAAAAAGTAATATTTTTTAATAAATATATTATTTTGGGTCGGGTCGAATTCAGATTTTATCTCAAAAAATCGGTAGAAGGTGTATATTTTTCGAGTCGGGTGGATCAAAAATCCGACCCAAGCCAACCTATGCCCATCCCTATTAATCCCGAAACCATTGTCCTTTTATTTTTTATTAGTACTATAAAGATATATAAGTAAATTTAAAATTATAACTTTTAATTTTAGTTTATTTTGATTTTATTCTTTTTATTTTTATAATTAATTAAATTTTATTCCTAAAATCAAATACAAATATAATGGTCGGATTCACATGCAGCTCTTGAACAGTTGTAGATTTGGGTTAATTTTCTAGTGGCATATATATCTTGTATGCTTAATCAATTATGTTTAGTCTCAAAATCACCCAAACGTAGCACGAATCTAATTATTTCTATATTTAAAATAATGATTATTATCTCTAGAGATTACGGGTTTAACACGGGTCAGTATGAGCGTAGAAACTCATTTTATACTTATAACAAAGATCAATATAAAGATGCTATAGAGTCAAAATTAGTCTCAATGTTTATCAAAATAGTTATTTTGATATTATTTTATTAATATTTTGGCTCATAACATTTTATCTTAAGATAAAAAAGTCGTTAGCATTTGATTGAATAGTCACTTCGACACTTATTCATCTGTTTTTTAAGTATTTTAATTCTCAACATTTTATCTTAGGGTAAAGAGAACACCATTTGACAATGAAAGCTCAATCACCATACTGTAATCGTTGGTGCTCGAACTTGCGACCTTTAAGAACAATAATATTTTCTTTAATTACTGAGATAAGTTAGCTCGTGTGTGTTATTTTAAAATTATATTTTGATATTATGTTTGTATCACATAATCATATAATGTGCGATATCTATTGCATATTTTATCAGTTGGAGTGTTACCATTATCATTATCATCGTAATTGTATTTGTAGGAAAATATAATGTTTATTTTCTTATATTTTATCAAAACGATAAAATATTTCCAAAAAATAACATTTATCAAAACGATAATGGTTTTTTTTAGTATTTTGGCTTTTAATATTGTATTTTAAGATAAAAAATAATATTTGATAAAATATTCACTTTAGCCTTTATTCTATTTTTAGATCATTTTAGCTCTCAATGTTTTATTTTAAGGTAAAAATACCCTTATTTTAAAGTACTAACAATGTGTTAACTAAAATTTTTTCATCTATACAAGAAGCTTTTTACCATATAATAAAATATTGAAAGTCAAAATATTTAAAAAAAAATAAAAATAATGATTATTTTGATAAACATTGAAGACTAATTTTAACATTATGCGTATATACAATATCTATTTAGATTACTCATCTCTTTTTTTAAATTAATAAATTGAAGACTAATGCGCACTTGGTTTTGTTTTTTTATCATGTATGATAACAACAATAAATATTAATTAAATTAAAATTTAATTAATAAAAATATATAATAATTTTAAATAGTGAATAACTCTAAATAAAGATTTTTGCTATGTCAAATTACGCCCAAATAAAATTGGGTTTTTTTTATAGAAACCCGCTAGTTTTATTAAAAATATAAAATATAAAGAATTACAATGAAGATTTATAAGTATAATGTAAACGATCATAACATTTTACTATAATCATTGGCTCAAAAATTAGCTATCTAGATCACACAAAGACAAAAAAAAGATTGGAAAATCTAACCAATGCTCGAACAAAATAAGGGTACAATAAATGTAACTGCATCGACAAATGAACCACAAAAGGGACAAAGCTACTTAAGGTCATCGACAAATCACAAATTAGAGTCAAGCGACGTGAGAAAACTATCCATAAACGCAAAACACGTATTCAAATCAATCCGAGTGTCAAAAGCAAGGAAGATCAACATGATAACAAATAAGCCCAAATATTTATTGACGATGTCAAATCCAACCCTGAGAAAAAAATATAAACAAAAACAACGACAAAAAACCGTAAGTTATTGTCTGAACCATCTTTCGGTTGGGCCCGAAATTGGGCTTCGACTTAGGAATAATAGATTGGAGCCGCCACCGATCATTTATTTTAAACAAAATGGGTTGATCGGATACCTTATTTCTTACCTGATCTGCGTCTTACTAGTGATGTGTTCGATTCGGGAGTCAGTTACCGTCAAGGAAGGGTTAACACCCTTGAATTGCCCTTTCGGTACTATATAATTTTCAATTGTTTTAAATTAAGAAAGTTGTAAGTTTAACTTAAAAGGTAAAATAACGAGTCAAATTACTTACCTTTGACGAATTTGAAATTGTACCCTTAAAAAATCGAGAAACGTATTAACGGAAGAATGTAAAAAAATAAAAATACAAATAAAGAGAAAAAAAAATAACATAGATAAAATAAATAAAACAAAGGAAAGTAATAATAATGATAATATATACATAATACACAACTAAACAAAAATAAGGAGGTGATGCAAATGACGAAATAAAATATAAAAGAAAGAAAAAAATATAAGAAGGTAAAATATATATATATAATAAATAAATAAAAATATACATAAAATGACGGTAATATAAATAAAAGAAAAAAATGGAGATAATAATATATATATACATACATTAATAGTAAAAATAGATAGTAATAGTTAAAATATATATATAATAACTTATAATAAGGTGAAAAAAGAAAAGAAATATATATATATATATATAATAAAATAATATAAATTAAAATAATGAAAAATAGATGGATTAAATCGAAAAAGAAAATGAATTCAAGGGCCAATTTGCAAGGATTTTGGGTTCAAAAATTGAT